AACATAGTAGAAAATATACACATATTTTTGGATCATGTGGTTTAAAGGGTACGTGGAGTTTGATGGAGACCAGAGGCTGGGAAGCAGGATTAATTTAGATGAAACAGGCTCACAAAAGAGCAAGTAGGTTATACAAATAATAATTCTTACCTAAGAATTATCATAGAGAGCAAGTAACTCTGTCTAATGTTTAACAGACACTCCCTGGTCTGGTCTGTCTAGGACCAGGGAGGGTGTGGGAGGCCCTTGTGCACCGGGTGCCCTGGTAGAGGAGGAGCCAGAACCCTGCACCAGGAGAAAGGGTCCCTGGATTTTCTGCTCCTGAGTGACCGGGTGCTGGCAACCTGTTCTCTCTTTTCCAAAACTGCCCTTCTAGGACACACCTCCTGGGGCTGCAATGGGGCTTCACATTTGTTGGGAAATGGTGTGTTCTGGAATCCCTTTCCAAAATTCCAGCACATTCTTTTGGTTATCCTCAATCGTGGTAACGCATCTTCACTTGATGGAAGCAGCCGAGAGTTGTTGGCAGCCAAGTCTGGTGAGTCACTAAGTCATGGCCACTCGAGCCTTCAAAAGAGTGGCCTGGCCCTGCCTGTGCCTTGGTCACCACAGAGGCCACGGCCGCCACCGAGCGTGAGAATGGTGGCTGGTGGGATCTGAGATGTGTGTAAGTGACACACCAGATTTTAAGACTTTAAGAAGGTGAAATATATCATTAATCATTTTTTCATATTGAGTATGCACTCAAAGGACACTATTTTGAATGCACTGGGTTACAACCCCATGTTTTAAAAATTAATTTCACTTGTTTCTATTTCCTTTTTAAATGGTGATGGCTAGAAAATTGTAAATTGTGCGTGTGGCTTACATTGTATTTTTATCAGGGATGGCCCATCTCAGGAAAAGGGTTCTGTTCTCGTGTATGGCTTATTAACTGACCTTTTAATTCCTCAAGAATTCTTGAATTCTGAAAATTTTGTGGACAACTAAGTTAGAATAAGGCCGTGGCTATTTCAGATGACCAATGGGAAACACCACATGTTCCGATATGTAGGTTGCTGTGTGATTGTTGTTACCGAGGCTCACAACTCAGCCAGGAGCGGACACAAGGCTTCCCAGGGAGGCTGGCCAGGATGTGGAAATTACAGAAATCCAAGCTATAGAATTTCAGTGTCAGACTGTCACTCCCCTTGGCTCCTTGTCTGGGACACTCTGTCTCCAAGGGCAGAACTGCGTGGTCACGAGAGGCATCCAGCCTGGCAGCTGAAAGTCTTGCTACTGGCCCTTGCAGAGTAAGTCTGCTGACCCCTGGACCAAGAGGCAAAATCCATTCTGCAGCCCGACTGGGAGCGTTCGGATGGGGAGAGGCTGCACTGTGGGGGCCCCAGTGGGTGGGGCTCTGGAGGCGAGGTCCAGGGCTGGGCCCCAGCGCCCAGCACAGCACAGCGGTGCCTTGAGTCATAAACTTAATTCATTCCATGATTCTGGAAAAGATGGCCACGTTCATGTTCATGCGGGAAAGATAGCCAGGTTTGTGATCATCACAACAAACAAAATTTGCATGTTTGCAAAGAAAAACAATTTTTCCAGATGCTTCTGCTTGTGCACCAAATTGTTCGCAAACAGAAGCTTTCGTGAATCGAGGTAGCACTGTGTTTGTAAAGGTGATGCTGATGTTGGGGGCCTTGGCAGTGGGGGAGACTGGAGCAGTGAATCTGTTGGTTGAAAGATGCCAGGATGGGACTGGCAGCTCCTGGGCTGCCGAGAGGTTGGTGGAGTGTTATATTTGGGGAGAGCTGGTAGCCATGGAGACAACTGGAAATATACAGGGGGCGCTGAGGGAGTGCGGGTCAGAGGCGGGGCTCCCAGAGAGGCAGGTGGGACTGAAGATCAAGCAGTGAGCCACCTGGACCTGGGACAGTGGCTGTCCCCACTGAGACCCCCCACTCCGCCTCCTGCAGGCCGGGGCTGGTCCTGCTGAGTGAGCTGCCCCTTCCTCCGCCCCAGAGCCTGCCTAGGTGCCGGCAGTAAAAAGATCGGATCTAGGGAGCACTCTCTGTCAGCAGTGGATTTTTGGAAAAGTGTCAAAAATGCAGACAGTTCAAAGAACAATGTGACACACCCCAGACCCCTCCCACCAATCAGTACTCTCTCACGTCGCTTTATGGTGGTAAAGCATGTGTGAAATGTGCCATTTTACCACTGTGCCACCGTCACTGCCGTTTCCAGGACCTTTCACCTTCCCCAGACCCAGACTCCATACCCAAACCTAAGCCCCTGTGCCTCGAACCCCGGCCCTGGCGACCACCTGTCCGCTTTCTGTCTCTGACTCCGACTAGTCCAGGGTCTTCCTAGAAGCGGTCATGTGATACTGTATCTGTCTTTTGTGTCTGGCTTGCAGTTGCCCACTACCTTTCCATCAAGGATGGGCCCTGGTCTGCTGGTGACTCCACCAGAGTCTCTTGCCTCATGGTGATGTAGTTGGCTTTGTTAGTGTCAGGACACTGGTGTTTGCACAGTGACGGAATTGCCTAGTGACAGGTTTCTCCGAATGCATCCCTGCTGTTAAGCAACACATGCCTATCCCCGAGGTGTCATCCTCAGGGTCCATTGACATTGTACCATGCATATCTTAGTTACTTTCTGTTGCTGAAACAATATACTGGACACCTACAAGTTAAAGGAGGAGAGGCTTATTTTGGCTCAGACTTTATAGAGGTTTTAGTTTATGGTCAGCTGGCTCCAAGGCAGGTTGCCTCAGCAGAGGGGAAATGGTCCATGGCAGGGCAGGCAGGAAGCAGTGAGCTGCCTTCTTTCCCTTTTTATTCCATTCAGGGTACAAGCCTGTTGCTTGGTGCCACCTACACCCAGGTTGGGCCTTCCCTCTTCACTAAGTCCGTCATCCACACCGAGAACTGTGCTAAACCAATCAGGACTAATCCAGTACCACCCACCCATGATCCGTACCACACACCCGTGATCCAGCCACTCCCCAAAGCCCCACTGATGAGCAGCGAAACTTGGGGAGGATATCTAGATAGAAGCCATAACAGTGTGTCAGAATGTTCTTGTTGAACGTTGAGTATAATCCATGTACCATGTTTGGCTTCCCCACCCACAGTCCATAATGTTATTTTGACTTCAAGACTTTTTCTTGAAGAGATAAGGTGGAAGCCCCTTTTGTGGGGTGGTCCCACCCCAGCCACTCCCCTGAACACTCTTATGAAGCTGGTCCGCACCTGCCCAGCGTGTGCCTGTCCCAGACACTCATAATTCACAACCAGGATGCAGTTCAGCTGCATACTCATCTCCTCATGTGCACAGAAGGCCTTGTGCCTTGGGCGTTCCATGGCTCGGCTTGGTGTGTGTGTTTGTGAGCATCATCCATGTGCATACCTCTGATTGGTTCTCAGAGTCGTTGCCCAGATCTATGTTATTTCTGGCTTCTGTAGGTGCAGACTGGCTGATGAACACCCTCATGGTTGGCTCCTTGTGGAGAGGGGCAGGGTTTCTACTCAAGACTCTTCCAAATTACTTTATATGTACACTGTAGTACATGAGACTTCTCAGAAAAAAAAAATTTTTTTTAATTGAAAAAAGAAAATATTGTAAGTTAGGAATGCATTTAGTCCACTTCATCTACCCAACAGCAGCTGCCACTGCCAGGCATCTTGAGAGAGTATCCTGTCGAAGATTACTAGCTGGGAAAAGACCTGAGTTCAAATCAGAACACACGCTGCTCTTCCAGTTCTGTGAAGTCAACCATTGCAGGTCAGGCGTTGGGAGTGGAGATGCACATGTGCGTCCGGGTTGCTGACTCCCAGGGCCCCTGCAAAGCAGAAGCTCCCCGACCCAGCACCACGCCCCACTGCACTCAGCACACAGGGACATTTTCTCTTCTTTCTCTTCTTTATCCTCGTGTGCTGGTCTCAACCCACTGAATTGATTTCGGCATCCACTATCGGGAGGGCTGTAACCTGCACTTTGAAAAACCATCCCAGGGCATTTCCTGAAAGTCTCAAGGGGACCAGATCTACCAGATCCAATCACTGGCCCCACTGCCACCACCCCAGAGTGCTGCAAAGCCCGCGCAAGCGCCTTATCCTCTGTACCCCTGGAACCATCAGTGAGACTCTCTTTCCATGGTATCAGTTCCTTGGTTTTCTTTCTGTGTGACTTACCCATTTTCTCTATTAAGATTTTGACTCTTTTTAGAGAGACTTCATAGGAGTTCTTTATATATTCTCCATACCGTTCCTTTTTTTTTTTTAATCCTTTCTTTATATATTCTGGATACTGATTCTCTTGTTTCCAGTGGTGTTTTTTTATTTTTTTTCTTTTTGTACCAGGGATTGAACTCAGGACCTTGTGCTTTCGAAGCAGGTGGTGGAACCACTGAGCTAAATCCCCAGCCCTGTGGTGTTTTGTGGGGTTTTTTTGTTTTTGTTTTTTTAATGAATCGTATGGTCCTTCAAATATTTGTGGCACCATGGGCATCGGGATGCCAGGGAAGACTCCAGATGGGCAGGAGGAGGCTGGGAAGCATGAGGAGGGGTACAAGTTCCAGAAGGAAGGGTGTGGTCCTGATCCCAGTGAGAACCAGGAAGAGGAATCTCTGCGGGTTGATGAGATTGCTCCTTGGGAACAGGTTCACCCCAGCCTGGTGGCTTTCAGAGGAGACAGCTTTGTTCCCAGAGGATGCTTGGTAATGTCTGGAGACATCTTCAGTTATATTGGGAAGGGAGATGTCAGTGCCACATGGTGGACCGAGCCCAGGGATGCTGCTTCAACATCCTGCAGCACACGGGATGCCCTGGGAAGAGCAAGCAGCTGAGGTGGAGCCGAGCACCCCACGAACAGCCTTGCGCTGGCGGGGCCTGTTCCATGGTTAACCGGCATCCCTGGGGTGTCTGCTGGTGCGAGGCGGGGCACAGCCCTGGGGACTCTTGGGGCATGTGCACGACCTTGTCCACCGATGCATCCCCGCTCTCCTCCCCCAGGTGGTCGTGACGAGCCCTGCCTGGGCCGCAGAGTGCAGAGGATGGAAACACGCACCCAGCAATGTCTCTGGGCCGCCTCCTTCGCCGCGCCTCCTCCAAAGCCTCAGACCTCCTGACCCTCACCCCCAGTGGCAGTGGTGGGTCCCCCTCTGTCCTGGATGGAGAGATCATCTATTCCAAGAACAATGTCTGTGTGCACCCGCCCGAGGGGCTGCAGGGCCTGGGGGAGCATCACCCAGGTGAGCAGAGGAGGGGAGGCCCCAGAGTACAGGCCGGGGAGGGAGCCCCTGAGGGTACAGAATGAGGGAGGGGAGATCCCGAGGGCCAAGGCCCAGGGATGGGAGGCTGGTTGGGCAGGGATTCTCCCGAAAACACAAGTCTTGTTATTCCTTCACCCACATGTGGGAATCCGGAACCAGATTTCTCCTCTAGCTTTGCAGGGTGAAGGGGATAGGAGGAGCTTTCCAGACTCCCTCTGTGTCACTGCAGCCACTCCCGAGACCCGAGACACTCACGGTCCCGGGGGAGCCACGCTTTCCTGTGCCCTTGTCAGCTCTAGCAGAGCCACAGGCCCGTTTGACAGGGCCAGGCTGTGCTCTGAACCCAGGTGCTGAAAGCCACAAGCCCTGGCACATAAAAAAGGAGACAGGTTTGTTTCTTCCTCCAGGGTGAGCAGCTGACCCCAGAATGGGTCTGTGCTGCCGTCCAGCTCCTGGGCGCCGGCAGACCTCTGGTAGGTGGGAGAGGACACGCGTGCTCGGAGGCCGACCAGCTCTGGGACGCACAGTGCCCATGCCTCTTCTGCGGCCTGTAGCTGGGTCCCGGGGCTCAGGACCCTGGAGGGTGCTGTAGCGGCCCCCTGACCACGTGTGGTGTCACCCCACGGAGAGTTGAAGGGCAGACGCGCTCGGCTCTGAGTTTGTGGTGCGAGGGTGTCACTCTGGGCATAAATCAAAGAATAGCAGCTGCCCAGGCAGCTCCGTGGCGCGTTCCTGTGGGACCTGACGGATGGTTGGTGGGGGGCAGCGTGGGCGGAGGTCTCAGGCTCCCCTCCCCGTCTCAGCAGCCGGCCGTGGGCATCCCAGCCCCACCTTCCTGGGACTTGGACATGTGCTGGCCGATGTCCCCAAGTTTCTTGTCCTCTCTGGGAAACCGGAATGATGCCCAGGAGATGCTGGCTGGAGCCGGAGCCCCAAGAGCTGTGTTGAGGGCGCAGGCTCCTGGTGATGGGGCTCACATAGGGGTGAGGAGCCCGGGAGTGGAGTGCTGGATTGAGATGCCTTGAAGCCCCTGGGGGCTGCCTCTGGAAATGCCACTTGTCCCCAAAAAACACGTGCCCAGCCCCTCACTGCTGGGCTTGGAGAACTGTTCTCCATCCTAGTCACCAGTGTATGTGACGCCAGGAATCATGGCAGCCCTGGGATCCAGCCCCTGCACCAAAACACTGCACTTAAGAAAGGAAAGGAAGGCCAGCATACCCTGGCTGCCTAGAAAGCCAAGCACCGCCCCTCGTGATTCATTCTTGTCAAATCAGGTCTGCAGCCTGCTCATCCCTCGTTGCGGGACACTGGTTTCCAGAGGCTTCTGGGCTTCCCTACTGCCCTGGGCTCACACAGACAGGCATGCCACGTGCCAGGTGGGCCAGGCACCTGAGCCTGGGAAGTGCAGGGAGCCCGCTGCTTGGGCTGCTGCCCCAGAAACACTGCGAGAGCTGAGCCTGGACAGTGCCCACAGTGTGGTCTGCCATTTTTCTCAAGGCCACTCTGCATCGCACTCCCTGTGTGCTGTGCCAGGCGTGGCCCTGTGGGGACAGAGCCTCCGGCAGCCCACACAGTCTAACTTGTTCTGCCGCTCCCCGCAGGGTACCTCTGCTTGTACATGGAGAAGGACGAATTGCTGGGCACCACCCTGATCCTGGCGTGGGTCCCCAACACCCGCATCCAGAGGCAGGACGAGGAGGCCCTGCGCTACATCACCCCCGAGAGCTCCCCCGTGCGCAAGGCCCTGCACTCTCGGCGCCACCGCACCCTGAGCACGGGGGTCGCCCACCAGGCCTCCCCCATGGAGCCGAGGCCCACCCTGATCCCCCAAGAGGAGGACATCCCGGCGGTGGCCCAGAGCGTCCAGGATGCCGTGCACATCAGCCCTTCACCCGAGAACAGGGAGAAGCTGGCCCCGGGCCCTGGGGTGGACAGTCCCCTCCCTGCCTCACAGCCCGCCCACAGCGACTCCGGGATCCTGTCTGCAGTCAGTTCGCAGGACGGGACCGAGGAGGGCCGGGAGCCTCGGCTGGAGGCTGGGGAGGAGGAGGGCTCCCTGGAGCTGTCGGCCGATGGCGTCAGCAGGGACAGCTCCTTCGACTCTGACTCGGATGCCTTCTCTTCCCCATTCTGCCTGTCGCCCGTCAGCGCGGCCCTGGCGGAGGGCAGCAGCTCGGCATTCCTGGAGAGTGAGGGCAGGTGAGTTCCCGGGGCGGGGGGGGCACACCAGCCGGGGCCACGGGAAGCAGGTCCACTTGTCCCAGAGTGCCACCCAGTGCTGCAGCGCTCACCTGCCCACCTAGTCCTGCTGTCCCCGTGGGTGCCCCACCCCAAGGTGAGGGGCGGGAGTTCGGGTGCCATCACTCACTGCCCGCGGTGGTGTAGGACACACACCAGGCTCCATCTTTGTCTCTCCTCTTCCCTGGCAGCCTTGCCTGGGACTGAACAGCCCCCACCTGGCCTGCCCGGCCCCTGGGCCTTTCTGTCCTCGTGGGAAGGGCTGGAGTGTCGGTTCTCCCTCTGGCAAGGGCCTGGTGGCCTTGTGAGGCTTACAGCGCTGACTTGAGGCCACTTTTGCCGTGATGCTTGGTACCCAGCCAGGCCCCATGCTCAGCTGTGCCGCCCATCAGCCAGGCGACCTGCCGTGGGGACTCCTGGTATCCTGCGCCTGTACAAGTGGGAAGTTGGCAGCATCCGCCCAACGTGGCAGCAGCCGTCTGCATGCACCATGGGCGCTGCGGTGCCTGGGCTCCTTGCCTATGGAATTGATGCCATAGGTTGCACTTTGTGGGGCAGGAGTTCCCCTTGGAGCCCAGGGGGGCCAGTGGATGGGGATTGTGGTCCCTACATCCACCACCCAGCGTCTTCAGGGCCTCTTGGAGGTGGCATGTACCAGGCTCCTGCGTGGAGTGGGTGCACCAACCCAGGCCACCCTGGGAGCCCACCATGGCGCACCTGTCGGCCCTTCCCAGGCTCAGGGTGTGGACCTGTGCTCATTCGGTTTAGCAAAAATGGTGGTACTGACAGACATTGGCTCATCATGAGAACCCACGGGTAAGCCGTGTGCTGGGTCTGCACCGAGGTACCTGGCATCTCTGGTGGATTGTGGATTTGTACGGAGGGGAAAAGGGGGGCTTGGAAGAAGTTAGTGATTTGCTGGAGGTCACCAGCCAGGGCACAAGACAAGCCTGGATTTAGACCCAGCTGGGTCCCCACCAGCCAGGGCTGGAGCCGAAGTGACCACACTGGGCCGACAGAAGCCAGGCAGCAAAGGGCAGGGCTAGGGACATGCGTGCTTTCCTGGCTCTGACAGGAAGGAATTTGAGATGGATTCTTTCCTGATCTTATCCCCTCAATAAGATGTGGCCCATTAAAGCCCCGGATGAACCGATAACAGTAGTCTCCGGTATTTGAGAGCACAGATGAAGGAAGCAGCCATGGCGAGGAGTCCAGGTCCCCGCAGAGCTTCGCTTAGCCCTGAGGGCCGCTGAGTCCTGCTGTATTCCTGGCCAGGGTCCCCGGTGGGGACAACCTTGTGCCCAGCTTGGGTCCGGCCGAGCTCAGTTAGAGCGCCTCCTGGTGGTGCCACTCTGGTAGTGCAGTGTTCCCTTTGAAGTCCTGACACTCCCAGGGCCCAGGCTGAGGAATAGGGCTTGGTGCCTTGTTTATCCCTTTCCTCTCCCAGAGAGGTGGTAGCTGAGTCTGTTCTGGTCTCGAGGTTGAGGATGGGGTGGCAGAACCAGAGCAGAGCCTGGCTGTTCAGCAATCTGCCCAGAAGCCCCGTACCATCAGGGGGTCCGATCTGGGCCTTTAGGAGCTGGGTGCTGACTGCGTCCTGGTACCCTTGGCTGGCATGAACCTGGGAAGCTGCCTTCTCTTCCTGGGCCTGTTTCCCCACTGTAAGCTGGGGTGGTGATACCGCTTTACAGAGTCGTCATGAGAAGCGGCGTCCTCCACAGTGGGCCTCCCCCTGGCTGCCCCTGGCTCGCCTCATGGAGTGCCCAGCCCTGCTGCCCCACTGTCTCCAGATGCTTCTGGACCAGCTGTTCTCACTTAGGGCTCACGTGGTCCCCAGGGGACACACACTGCCCCAGGAGACGGGTTTGTCCCAGTGGACGGGGCGTCATTGGCATCCTGGCTGGGGGCTGCAACTGCTGCAGGCAGCTCTGCTAGCCGAGGAGAAGCCTCCTTCCTCGCTGCCCCAGCACTCAAGCTTTTGGCTTTGGCCTCGCCTTGGACCTGGTGCTGTCTCTGCCATGGTCTTTGCCTGGGCTTCCCCTCCCCTGTCCTAACCAGCTAGCTAGAGTATGAGACTCAGCTCGGGGGGGCCTTGTGTCTGGACTTTCATCCCCCTGACCCAGGAGGGCACTCTTACCCTGCCCGACACTGTTCTCCCACTGGATCCTGGCTCTCGTGCCAGGCTGCTCACCCAGCTGCAGCTGTGTGTGAACTTCAGCATCTGGCAGATCTGCTTTAAGCCCTGGCTTCACCCACACAGGCGGGTGATCTGTGAGTGCTGGCACTCAGCTGTCTCATGATGTGAAATGCGCCCAGAGTCCCTCATGGTTGGTGGGTGAGGTCACATGCCAGACTGGGCCACGTGGTTTGCAAGCCTGGCCTAGGAGCTGGGTAGTGGCCACGAACTCCCATCCCTGCTCATACGAAGGCGTAGGAAACGCTTGGCTTCATGGCTGCTGCTTACCCTTTGTGCTGTCCACCTCAGGTCCACCAGTGAGGCCACACCATTGTCCCTCACACCCATACCAGCAAAGCGTGGTGGAGGTTCCCTGGACACAGTGGGTGCATTCGTGCATTTTCTGTTGCTCTAACAATACCTGAGGCTGAGGGCTTATAAAGAAAACAGGTTTATTCAGTTTACAATATTAAAAGCTAATCCTCCAGGGTTGGGTGGCCCCATAGTTTCGGCCTCTGGCAAAAGCCACAGCAGAGGGTATCTTGGGGGGAGCCAGGCAGAAGGGGAAGATCACACGGGGACCTGGAGCCAGAGTCGGGGGGGGGGGGTGTTTGGTTTTATTTTTGCAGTTGTGGGGGTTACTTTGCACGGGGCTATATCCCCAGCCCCTTTAAAAAAATTTTGAGACAACCATGATTAGGATCCCTCCTGTCCACTGGTTGAACAAGCCTGTCTTCCCATCAGAAGTGACAAGTGTCCTGTGGTTACAAACCCTTCTTGCATGGCAGGCAGCTGAGCACTTTTATTTTACCATGCAGATGTTGTGAGGCCCCGGGTTCCGCCCCAGCACTGGGGAAAGTGGCGGATGTGGTGTCGGAAGTGGTTGGGCCCTGGAATCTGTATTTTCACTTGTTTGTCCTTGTTTGACCTCGTGTCCCGAGTGCTGCTTTGGCCCCGATGTCTGCCACACCAGGGTGCCAGGTGGCACTGGAAACCCTTCACTAACTGGCTGATTGTTCTGGATCCTCAGGCAGCTTTGAAAACTGCTGCCTGGGCCACACCCAGACCTCTACACCAGCACCAAGGATGGAGCCGGAGCAGCCTCTGCTTTAACCTCCCCAAGGGTTTAGGGCAGGGGTGGCGAACCTATGGCACGCGTGCCTCAGCTGGCACACAGAGCCCTCCAGCACCCTAGTACCCCCAGCGGCAGAGCATCGAATAATCGCGCAGTGTTAGCACTTTGCGATAAATAAGTGGGTTTGGGCACTCGTTCTCCAAAAGTTTCGCCATCACTAGTTTAAAGCCTGTAGCTGTGCTTGCTTCGGCAGCACATATACTAAAGCCTGTAGCTGACTTGAGAAACCTCCTGAGCAGGGAGGGGCGTCGGGCTGAGATCCGCAGGGCCGGCCACTGGCACCAGGCCTGACTCTGAGGACCCCACCCCCGGCACTTCTAATTACCTGGACTCCACGGCCCCGCCCAGGGCAGCAGGGCAGGGCAGGTAGGTCGGCTCGCGGGCCCCCTCTAGTGGCAGAATGGAAGAACTACCAGTGCAGACTGGCTGGGGACGGGTGGGGGTCGGGCCCAGGGATCGGACGGTCCCCTGTGCTTTCTATTTGGCAGGTAGTTCCAGAAGGGCTGAGTGGTTAAAAATGTGGTCGTGTCCCCTGGGGTCTCCACATTCATGGGTTACCTCCCAGAGCCCCAGCCTATGACAGGCCGGAAATCCATGACCGGAGTTCAGGGCCCACTGGGGCGGTTACTGTGAACCGGTCCCGTGGACCCCTCTCCTGGGCACAGCTGCTGCCTTACCATGGGCCGGCACGTAGACGACCGGGAGTACCACCCCCTTCGTCTCTGTGTAGAAAGCCAGCCCAGTGAAGCTGCGGCCGGCAGGACCCCTGGGGCCAGCAAGTGCCAGGTGGCCCTGCCCAGGGACATGCTGGGTGAGCAACAGACGAGAAACATCTCCTCTCTAAGTCCAGATGCTTCTTCTGGAACTTGTCTTAAGAAGGGACCCAAATTACAGAAAGAAACAAAACAAAAAGCTGCAGGAAGATGTTCATCGTGGTGTTCTTTACAGCTCAGAAAAGGAATGACATCTCCGGCAGCAGAGCAGGCGGCAGACTGACCCCGTCTCATCTCCCGAAGGGGGGTTCCAGCCTTCTCACCCTTGGAGGGCAGGCTCCCCGGGTGCCTTCAAGGCGGGAGGAGGCGCCACCTGCCCCCCCTGCAGGCTCAGACCCTGGCAGGGCCGGGGGAAGAATTTGCGGGTGCCCTAGTCTGTAGTGCCCCAGGGGCGACACAGGCACAGCGGTGGGTGCACAGTGCGGTGAGTCCGGGAGGTGGCCCACGCGTGCACAGGCTGCCCGTGCCTGGGTCTGTGCCCCCAGCACGACAGCCACTTGTCCGGAGGCTCCTACACCTCTGGAACACGGCCAGTGCAGCTGAGCAGCCGAGTGTCAGGCTTACATGGTGTTGCTTCATATAAATTTTATTGGCACACATTGGACATTTGGGTCAAGAGGAAGATGTCAGTGTGGCAGTGTAGTGCAATTAGGGATCTTTTTTTTTTTTGAGACAGAGTCTCACTGTGTAGGCCAGGCTGGCCTTGAACTCATGGCAATCCTCCTGCTTCAGCCTCCCAAGTGCTGGGATTCCAGGTATATGCCATCACGCCTGGGGATTTGTTTTGTTTTGTTTGGTTTGGTACCGGGGATCGAACTCGGGTCCTTGCTCTTGCAAGCAGGCGGTGGAACCACTGAGCTAAATCCCCTGCCCAACG